GTCATTTGATAGACAAGCCTTTTCCACCCTCAGTTTTACATGGCTTACAAATCACAATGTCTCTAGCATACATGTATAATACTACATGTTACAATCTTAGTGAATAAGTACAAGAAACTCGTCAGTAAAAACTAATGAAAAATATTAAATAACTACAATTAGTTTACAGTAAATATTCAGCAAAGTGAAGGGGAATAGTGGTGGATATTTACTGAGCCACAAAGCAGTGAGGTAAATATCTTCCATATATACCACTCAGATACCAAAAAAATGGTTTATTTCTTTCAGTATACCCAAAAAAATGGTAAGAAATTATAACCCTGATGGATTATTTTGTCACATTGGCTATTCAAAGGGTGATACTGCACCTTCAATGTTATTCACTGTTTTAGTATCTATGAGTAGTTATTTCTAAAATTTCAAAATAATTTTTTTGCAGCTGACATTGTGGTTCTCAACAATGTGTTTGAGTTCTTTTTATCAATGAATCAGCAAATAAGGTAGGAGAAATTAGTGTGATCAAAGGATGTGGGTTACTCTACATCCTTTTCAATACATGCTGAGAGAATTTCAGTAGTAAGAGTAAGAGATTCATTTTCTTTGTGCACAGAACTTGGAAATTCATCCGAGAGCATGTGACTAAACCTGGATGTATTTTAGTCACTGTTCCAAGTCTTGAAGAAGCCACAGAGTTCAACAACAAGGTACATGGTGTTAACCCTTAAACTCTCAGAAGTGATTCACATGTAACTTCTCCCTACCATATCTGTACACTATCCAGCAAACAGGTAATGAGAATACTCAAATGTATCAGGTAGAAGTTGTTATCTTGATATAATACCAAATTCTTGCAACTAATTCATGAGGAAATGTGCAGCAGTGAGAGGGAAGATGTAACAATCAGATCATAGGAGTTATACGGTTAATTGATATGATTGCCTTTTTTTGCAAACTGTTTGGCTAAATGTTGGGATGTCTAATAGACACTCTTAAATTTAGCCAAAAGGTTTGCAAAGAAAGCAATCATATTATTTTTTTACTGAGATGAGAGTGGTTTCATTGAAATAATTTTTTCTGTTCTCTTACTTCCTATAGCCATGTATAGATGTCAACAGTTGGGTAAAGCCATGCATAGTTAACTATGATGTACTAGAAATTCCTCTTTTAGAAGAAGACTTGGATGAATTACAGAACATTTTCTTTTATCAAGTGAAATGAAAAAAAAATTGTCTGATTTACTGGTACCTGTTGATAATAGGAGTCCTACTACCCTCATGGTTAGTATGCTGGACTCAGAGTTGAGAGGTCTGGGTTTCAGACCTGGTTGGGACATTGTGTTGTGTTCTCTGGCAGAACAATTTACTCCCTGTCCTTGTCCATCCAGTACTATAAACAGGCACTAGTGAGTGGTCAAGGGAACCTGATGAAATGCTGAGGGGTAGCCTTGTAATTGACTGGCATCTCATCCAGGGGGGAGTGGTAATACTCCTAGTCACTTCATGTAGAGGGAACCAGGATAAGCTATAGCTGGATAGGCCACTTGGCCTTAGTGCAGACTTTCACTATTGAAGTTATTGTTATTATTTAAATAACAAAATCCAGCTTATAAGTTGACTCTTTCCATTCACAATTATTGTGCAAGTCATTTGAGTCACATTTATAATAACTGTTAACTGTCCAAGCAAGAGGAAATGCAATGGGGAATATTTTGTGTCAAAGGATCTTGAAAACTTTGAAACTTGAGGATTTGGAGAACAAGTTTTAATTTTTCTTTTTCATTGGTTAAACTGCATTTTATCAAATTTGTAATGAGTAATTAATAAGCACTTCATGACTGGCCCCAAAAGAAAAATTAATTTTTTTCCCCTGAGACCCTCAAGGTTGCATAAGGTGTTTCACTTTGCCTGAGTGAATTTATTTTATTTTGCATTGTTATATCTATGAATTGGTTAATCTCTTTCTCATAAGTTCAACAGCCTGTATACAAAAGATAAATGCAACATTATTTTTTTATTATTATTTGGATCTTGTGTTTCATGAAGTCTACAGTAAACACTGAACAGTCTATGCAGTTAAGTTACAGAAATTTTTGTTTCTTTAGTTACACTTAGACTTGCTTGGAACATGAATGATGTCTGACTTTGTAAGGTATGGCATATGTACAGCAAAGAACATTAATTCATAACAGATATGATAAGTAAACACTTTGTATAGCCTAACAAAATTCCAGATGTCTAAAATTTCATTTGCCACACATAAGACATGTACCTCCTAGCAAGGTAATAAGTTAGTGCAGTAGGATTTGTAATATCCTAATGGGAACACAAATACTTGATTAAAAACACTCCAGAATCACCTCTTAGCAGAACAGTCTCTTTCAAAAGTAATGAAGTAAATGTAATGTAATGAAAGTAATGAAATGAATGGACTTCATGTGGAAACAACAAGTCAGATCACAGCTACTAACAGTGCAATATGTACAGAATTAATAAATATTGTGGCTCAAATCTTACTCCACACAACCTCTCCCTAACAAAACTAAAGACATGAAAAAAGATTGTGAAAAATAACCTCCTTGGAAGATTAAGATTGCCTTAGAGTTTGTATATCATAGCTCTTCAAAATGTTTGAAACACTTCAGAGAAAGTAAGAAAAGCCTTTAACCAGCATTTCATCTGAAGAACTAAAAAAAATGTGATTAACAATTTTAACCACTGCAACCATGTGCCTACTCAATTGAAGACTGAAAAACAACTTCTCCTTGGGCTAATTAACCAGTTTGCCATCAATTACCCAAAACATCTATTGATAGAGCTACTTTATCTTAGCAGTACCATGATTCAACCAAAGTAAGTTGCCTACTCTAATACAAACTTGACAGGCAAACCCCCTTTTTGTCAAGACAAAAGGATAATTTATAATTGCAGCAAAACCACCTGGCACCCTTGGATGGCACTAAGCCACTGACCTAAGACTCCCTTGAAGAAAATCCTGTCTACACCCAAGATGTAATGATCACTAGATCTTATTTTCAACTTAGCAGGCTATTGGAAGCATGAAAAAATTAAGACTCGGTTTGATCCTCATACATCCTCCTTCTCCAACCCTCGCTCTGTTGTTCACCCTTTTTTGGTCACCATTTGCCTCTCTTTGCCCAATCCTTAGGAGTCCAGTGAAGACAAGTTGGATCAATGCGAACCTTTCTCTTTACCATGGCTCTTCTATGTCCATCAAGAATTTCTTTGGAAAGATTCAGAATATACTGTCCCTTGTAGTAGTGAATGATCCCCAGATGCTGAAGAGTAGAAACAACATCTTCTTTTCTTATACTCGTCATCTCGCAGATATCACTATTGAGAGAAAAAGGAAAAAAATGAGAATTGATTGAAATCCTGTGTGATGTATGGTACAGTCAAACCTCAAATATCTCCACTTGTGGGGACTGGACTGAATAGTCCCGATTATTGAGATTATAAATATTAATAAGCCAAAAATATACCTGAATAACTGAAAGAGAATACAAGTCAGTTAATCACTATTAACCTATGTACAAATTAAAGCACTTTCTCAAATCATTGCTCATAAGATGTGGACAATTACCAAAAGTATTCACAAATAATAAACCGAACAGAAAAGCTTAATAACAACGCTTTAAATCTACCAAAAATGCTGACTTAATTCTGTCTCTTGAATGATGTCAACATTGTTTTGTCTTTCCATCTATAATAAACACTTCCTGAAACATTTAACCATTTGGGAGAGCACAAGAAATCAGTTCCAACAGCTGTATCACTAGATTACATCCATGCAACAGGCACTCAGGCTACTATGCATATTTCTGCAGATAACTTCTGATGCCAAGAGCCATTTTTTGTGAAGACAGAGAAGAAATTCTCCTTTTACTTTTCACTATTCCACTGCTACCACATAATTCAACAAAAACCCTCTGTTTTGGGAGAGCTTTTTGAAACTGTTGGTAGTTAGAATTACTTTTAATTTAAAGCATCCATGGCTCTCTTACTTGATTGTAATGGCAGGTGGAGTACCATCCTCCCCAGCCTTCAGTGAAACAAGAATTTCCAGAATGGTTTGTGACCAGTAACTGCGGTATGAAAGCAGTCCCAAATCTGAAAGGGGTTTCTCTGGAGTCCCTGTTTTCCCCTCAAACTTTGAAAGCTCATAGCCTGCAAAGATAAAAAATGATTAAAAATATCAAGTTTTAAGCAAGTTTGAGCTTTAAAAAAAATCAAACCCCTACTTTCTTATCTTGCCAGGAACTTTTCAAATGATTTAATCCTTCACACCCTAACATCAGTATGCATATTCTCTGTAATATTCTCTAAACATTTCATCAAGTGATAACAAGGAGAATTTGTTTAACAATCAACTGCTTCTTTAATTGGTGATCATTTCCTTAATTCTCCTAACCTTAATGTGTGACTTGGGAGTGCTACCGTAAGGAGACTTTAGATGCTAGTTACCCCTGTACTCTTTGGAGGCAAAGGGTCAACTTACTGAATTCTATGAGAAGCTTGCCATAACCCATTCTCTGATACTGTGGTAGAGTTAAAATGCAGGCCACATTATAATCCTCTGATGACTCTTTCTCCTGTAAAAATCACACAACATTTACAAGGTCTGTACAATAAAATGTTGAACCTTTGATTATGTACTATATGATTTCTTATGACATTCTCTCCTGTGCTTTCAACATGACAACACTGCTATAATTCATGAAGGTTCAATCTGCCTGCCTTCAAAACTCTTCTCTTGCAACATGATACCCTAGAATCAAGCTTAAACTGTTTCAGTAGAGCCTGAATTGTGATAAAAATTTTAAACTTCACAAACTCACAACAGAGTTTAATGTCTGTGGATTTAATGTCAAATTCTCTCCCTTTCAACTTTGCAAGCAAACTAATGCCAATTTTTGAATGGAAAAATCTCTATCTGGTGGAAAGCACAATACGTTTTGTTAATGCGTATGATTCCACTTGAGAGAAATTTATACAGAGTTGTCTGCCCTTCAAACAACTTAGCCCAGACATTTGTAATGCACTAAGAAGGGCTTTTTTCATTTTTTCAAGCACACCTTCAATTTAACCAAGCACAAACAAGTGTCTGTAAAGGATATCTTTAATTTTTGCCCAAAAAATACACCAAAAATCCTTACCTTAGAAAAATATCCCACTATGTGAAAACCAATTGAGTCATATTCAGTCATTACATAGAACAGGAAAGGATCAGTGTCATAGTACAATGTTTTGTGATCCAGGAACATCTTAGCCAGGAGACACAAATTTTGGGCATACATCTACAACAAAAACAAACAAAAGTCACAACTTATACAGGCATCTATAGCTGGAAATTTCCCATGAAAACCCCTTGGTGTTCAACTAATTCACCTGCCCAGCATAACAGCTGATTATTTGGAATGCTTCTAACCTTCAATAATTATTGACCTTAAGTCAAACACCGATCAGTAGTGACCCTACCTACTTTGTTGGCATCCCCTTCCTACCCCATTTTGCCACAGTCACAAAGGCACAGCATGGTATTGAGAGGTAGGATGTAACTGTGGACTCCATGTCAAGAGGTCCAGGTTTGAGACCTCCCTGGGTCAATATGCAAAGTATTCTTGGGCAAAACACTTTACTTGAAGAGTGCCTCTCCAACCAAGTTGCATGAATGAGCAGGGGCAAATTGTCAGAGAAGCCCAATTAAATGTTACAGGGTAACCTTGCAATGGTCAAGCATTCCATTTCTGGAAGGGGGTGGGGTGGGGGAGTAGTGACACCTCTAGTGGCTTCATGCTAAGGATACCATAATACACTCTGGCTGAGTGGGCTACTTAGCTCAAGCACAGACTTAACACACTTTAAATTGCAGAGGTTTACAGTTGATTTATATTGTCTACATGCCCACATCTTAGGTGGTTGAAGAAGCTGATGATACCCTTTTGCCTTATTCATTACACTTTGTGCATTCCAGCCATAGAATACTGTTGCCCCCAAACATGAGAAAATGTGAGTTAGAAAAGGAGATTTCCCTTTTCACTGTTAAAAACTGCCAAAGTTGTGTGCCCAGAAAGAGGGAGAGAAACATGACACATACCTTGTTCTTTCTTCCATCAATCTCAAAGAAGGATACTGATCCTTTTCTATAAATTTCATTTCCTGGAGGGTGACGCAACTTACACTTTTCCTGCAAGTTAAGGGCAAGTGACCATCAAAATAAAGTTGCAATGCACTTTTACGCATATCACATGATCCTAGTAAACTTTGCACCCACTCCACATCACTGGAACAGTAATGAAAAGGGAAGGAATGATGAAGTCAGAATTGTTATAATTGTTATCACTTTTATCATTTGATCATTATCAATGCTATAATTCTCATTATCGTCAGGGTAACCCTAATCAATAAATTTGAATTCTCAAATGTACTCTGAAGATTTTTATTACAAATTGTTTAGCAAAGCCTTTAGAAAGAAAAGGCTAACAATGTGATTAATAATAAATGCACTTAATAGAAACTCTTCCCTGCAAACATAATCTTCACCCTTTCATACCTTGTGTCTTTTTAGACAATGGAAGCTCTTGATGTACTTCAGGCAAAATTCGCAAAGGTAAACTACAGGTTCCAGGGTAAGTTCTTGTGGGTAAGGTGAGAAATACCAAGGCTTAATTCGAAATTTACCCAGTTGAACCATTTTGATATTCTTCATTCTTGTTACGATATCATCATGGCTACGATCTTGGACCATACTTCCAGTCTGTCGCATACTTCCTGTCTTAGGTGGGGTGCTTGGCAAGTCCTTGGGACTATCCTGTGAATCAATCTTTGGGGAAAAAAAGAGAGAGTTTCATAATGTGGCAATTTTGAAACAGGGAAAAAGTTCACCAGGATTGAATTGGTTTGGAATATATTAGCTACACTCTGAGATTGTTCTTGAAAACTCCTGCAGGGTGACTTAAAAATCAATCACCGCTTGGTCACCTTGTTCTTTCCCATTCCTGAAATCTACTTAGTATAAATGCTTTTTTTCCTTCCCCTTTTTTCTTTTTATAACTAATTTACTAGGAAATGTGAAGCAGCTAGAGGAGAGAATTAACAATCAGATCTTGGGGGTTAAAGGGTAAATTTTTCACGGGCTGCTACTAAAGTTCACTTTAAAGGTTTGGTCTTATTAATCAATATGATGGATTTGGTTCAGCTTTCACATCAGTAAATTAAGAATGAGTTTGCTCAGTAAAATGGGAGTGCCCATGTGTCACCAAAACCAGTGTTGGCTTACTCCTGCACCCTGATTTAGGTTATAACATCAACTATCATCTAAATATAATCTCATTAATTTAACTGTAGCAATTTCTGCCGCAGTTAAAAGCAAGATTTATATATCTACAGAGCTCCCTAGTAATCAGTAGGAGTTAACCCTTCCACTCTCAATATCTCATTAGTAATTCTCCTTACTGTCAGCCATACAATTCTTGAGATGTAAGTTCATAGATTTTGGTATTGGATCAACTAAGAATCCCCTAACTAATATTTGTCTTTATTCTCATCAATTGTCTGCTCGATATAGGAGTTAAGTGGTTTATAAGAAGAATAGAATGTAAGCTTTATTTTCCATATTCTGTAGTGTTTTACCTCATCACTCGACTTGTCCATGGCATTAGCTTTCCTTTTACGCCCCACAGGTGCTTTAGGTCGGCCAGACCCCACACCATTCACCAGTTCCCTGTCAGGTGAACAAGGCCTGGAACCAGCTCCTTTATTAATCTTCTTGGTGTCCTCTTTCTTTGGCATTTGAAGCCTGTTCAGATCCAGTCTCTCTTCTTCAACCCATTCATCAAGCCTTTTATTGACTAAAACACACACAAAAGAATTAGTAAAACAAGAGACTCTTGTCTACTGAAAGCTTAGGCTCTCTTGAGCAGGACTTAATTTTGCAGTTGAAGTGTCGATGTCATAGTAGTCCTCGTCCTCATTAATGTAAATTCATACTTCAGTGAAAACAAAAAATGTGATCCTTGAACTAAATTATCAAAGAAAATCCCTTTATAACTTTGATTAACTTTCTACTTCAAGTTTGAATAAGAAAAATTTAATTTCAAGGACCTTGTCCAAGCTCTCTCAACTACCTCAAGTAATGTGGTCTCTCTTAATACACCAAGCGGACCTATCTTTAGGGAAGCAAGAGTTCATGGGATTGAAAATCCTCTATCCGCCATCTTGAATTTTCGAAGATAAGAAATTTCAAAAACTTATTTAGATTTACACTGCCAGTTCTTTACAAAAATAAACAAAAAACAAGTTCGGTGATACAATTTAATGAGAAACAACGAGTTTAAGTCCTTCCTGGGTCGAACAAAAAAATTCAGAAGTCCTTCTCACTGTAGAAGCAAAGAGCCCGCGAAATAATACTTCACCTTTTTTTAACAATACACAAATTATTTCGTACTCACAGTCGATATAATGCACATAATAGTGAGTGGAACCATTTGGCATTTCTCTCTTGCTTAGTATTTCAGCTAAAGCTATGGAAAAAAAAGATAGTTTGTGGGCATAAGAACAATAACTTACGGCCCTACTTACACATGTGTTCCACGTCTAAAAGAAAATTACTTACGCCATTCGTCAGAACCACTCATTTTTACCGGCATTCTACAGCCTTCTAGCACCTCCATCTACAAGAAATAACAATTTTTAAGATCACGTGAATATCTTTGAGAGATTGATCATTATATACAAGTAAAATTATTAATCTTTCTGTACCGAACTTTCACCGTTTGCCTCCGCCATCTTTGATTCCTATCTTGTCGCCATTATAGTACGACGATGTCTTAAAACGAACTTTTCCGTTGAATCATCGAAAGAACGGATATGGCCGATCTTATATCGACTGATCTCTCAACCGCTAAGCTAGGCTCAGGCTTCCACGGTCACTGTTATGTCACCAAATCTTGTTGTTGCGATCCTGTTACAAGTTATGATGAAATAGGCATTCGTTTTTAGAAATAAATTTAGAATAGCTCTTCAAAATTTTAAAGATGAGGCTGCAGTTTCTAGAAAACCGAAAAATTCTTACAGCGGGTTGTGGACGTGACAATATCGTTTGATTTACTAATTACATGGTGAATAGCTTCCAATTCACTAACAAATTTTTCTTTTTTAAATATCGATGATATCTGCTCTGGGAATCCAGAACAATCTTAAGATGCGCCTCAACACGTCTCCAGCCTGTCTTTGAGTAGCGTGACCCAAGTCACGCTTTAAGTTACTCGGGGCAAAAGTTGAAAAGATGATTTGGTTTAAATTTGAAACTACTTCCTTCAAGAAATAATTTAGTTGAACTAAAAATAAAATTTCCTGCTGTCTACCCAACTGGAAAAAGGACATAATTGAAAAGATTTTTGTTAATTAAAATGTACATAAATTTATTTCGGAAAGTGCAAGTTCGAACTTGTGACCTTGTGCTAAACGGAAGTGACATCATACGCTAATTTTGTTGACTTACTACGCGCTACAATTAACACAGCGAGAGCTATTTAAGACATAAAACTGCTCTGTCATACAGAATCAATTGCACATGACTTTCAATCATGTGCAAAACGGGGCCTTTTATCATCCCCAACTGGTACTAAAATATCCCACGCCTGTAAAGCAGTGAATTAAGTAAAATACACGGGAAAAAAAACTATCATCGATGATGTCTTTTGGCGCCGAAGCTGACTTACACAGGAAGAGACGGAGAATATGCGAGGTCAAAGTGATTAGTCTCAGAGAACTTTGCAGGGCTGTGATTATAAAAAACACAGGATTGCGACGACTTCGAAAAGCGCGTAAAAAACTGCCTCTGCCGCAACATTTAATTGACTTTTTAACATCGGATTTCAGCTTCCGAGAGTTCGAGGCACAAAGCTTAAATCTCTCCAGAGATATGCGGGTCCATTGTATCTATCCAACTAGGAGTTTGTTGGATAATTCCAAGGTTCTGCTAAAGTGCATCAACGCCAAGACTTTCAATTCTTCAAGTTCTTCTCTTCTCCTTAAAAGATGGGCCGAAATTCGCCACAAGAACATCATGCGAGTGTTGGTTTTGTTCAGGGAACGAGAAACTATAGGGGTCGTCCTAGAGCCATTTTCACCGAGTCTCTACGATCTGGTCCACAAATATCGCAGGGCTGGGGTAAAATTTTCCGAGGAACTTTTGTGGAAGATGCTGCATCAAATCTGCGATGCCTTGTGGTATTTACAAAGATGTCAGATTGTGCACACGGAGATTCAAAGCAAGACGTTGTCTCTTTCGAAATCAGGAGATATTTTGCTTCACAATCTCCTTATTTACACTCCTAGTGAGACCGAGCTTAATGTATGCGTTGATGGTAAATATTCTTTTCACGGGATCTATGTTGCTCCGGAGAAAATTCGAGGAGAGAGATATTCGAGCAAACAAGACGCTTGGGCGCTGGGATGCGTTGCTTTCGAAATGGTCTTCTTGGAACCAGCGTTTCCGCTGCGACCGGGTGGAAATATTTTTGAAACTTTGAATAACATCGTTCATGGGGTTTCACCTACAACACTCAATGAAGCAGATAAAAACAGATCCGACACAGGGGATTTAATTCGTTCTTGTTTGATGCCCGATCCATGGTTGAGGCCATCGATCGAAGATCTATTTCATTTTACAAGAGAGCGAATGCGACAAACACGACCAAATTAGACCAATATTTTAAACACAAAAAAAATCCTTCGCGCTTGACTAGCTACGCAGTTTTACATGCAAATGAAGCTGTTTTAGCTCTGTATCAGCAGTTATGCTGATTTCTCTTTTTTTCTAAATGACAGAAGAACGCATAATTTTTTTAACCACAAATGCGGGCAGTGGTTGAGAAACCACAGGTGCGGTTTACAGGTGACACAACAAACGTCACGTCCCACAACATCCTTAGTCCACCGTCGTGACCTTCAGAGTCACGGTTGAACTAAGTTTAGAATTTACTTAGTTAAGGCGGAGGAGGCACAGTGCTTGCCCAAAGAAGATTAACCATACCAGCTTAGGCTCACATGAGACGCTTCTTGGCCACAGAGGTTCCTAAATTTGAAAGAAAAATTTTTGCGACGTGTTTCAACACTGCTAGTAGTTGAAGAAAATTAAAAGGGTTTTCTGAAACATTCTCCTAAATCAAAATTTTCCAGAGAATCAATGAAATAGAGATTTTTAAATTTTGAACATTAAGGAAATTAATTAGTTTTGTAAATCAGTAGATTAATAGTGGATGAAAAGACTACTGTTTTTATTTAGTACCTATGGTTTGAGTTGTATCCAAAAAAGGTGTTAATCTTCACGCTGGCGTGATTCATTGCAGAAGGAGCAAAAAACAAATTTTGTATTTTTTCGCTTAGTCCCCTCAGATTCTAAAATTTGTACCCAGAAATAATAGGAAGTTGTAAAAATTTGCAAATAATGTTGTATAAATATTTTGTGAATAGCCGTTAATGTAATATACGAATTTCGTGCACGCAACGTTAAATGAACATTTGCGCTTAGCTTTAAATTTCCCTTTTAATTAACCTTGTGAAGAGGATAAAAGAATCTTAAAGCTCAGAAGTAAATAGTTCGCCATATCCTTACAACTTTTGCGAGTCTAAGGTCTGTAAGGGCCAGTTCTTTCAATACAGTTAAAGCGTTGTTTAGCTAAATTGAGTTCTAAACCATTATTTATAATGCAAAAAGTTTTACCTTGAAATAAAGAGATATATTTTTCCGATAAACGGCGTCTAGTGAGCTTAAAGTTAGCACTAGAAACATTTTTCTACTCCAAATACCCCTTTATTATTATTAAATCTCGAGGTCTACTGATGTACAAAAGCACGGCCTACTTAACACCTCGTTTGAATAATCAGCCTCAAAGTTAATATATGTTTTTTGTGGTTTACGTGCCCTTTAATTCAAATCCTTTTAAAAAATCATATTAGTACGATTCAATTCAGTTTTGTACATTATCTCTTGCTAGTCTTGCTACGCGTAGCATTTATGAATTTCCAGTAGTTTTTATAACGCTAGATGCAGTCATGAAAAATTTTATACAATGCCATTTTGTCAATAAAATGTCACCTTTCCAGCTATTTGTTGCGGTAAGCTTGTCTTCGTCCAGAACAATGATTCCATTCTGAGTCTGGCAAATTTCAATCTGTCTCCATGGTATAGGAACGATTCATTTATGCAACATTTCCACCTTGATCAGTAAGACAGACCTTTCATACGTCTCCGGGCAAAAGTTGTTGTGCGTATTTTGTCATGAAGGCAGTACCATAGCAGGCCTACCTCAGGCTATGCACCCCTGTTCTCCTATAATTCTTTATTCAGAATCTCTCCGCTGCTCTACTTGCTACCGATCTCATGTTGCCGTAGACTTTTGAAGGTGGACTCCCTGGAGAAGATACAACAGTGCAATTTAACCCCTTAACTCCAAGAAGTTATAAAAATGTAACTTCTCCCTAGAATATCCTTACATCCAGCAGACAGGTAATGAGAATCCTCAAACTTATCAGGTAGAAGTTGTTTCCTTGATCTAACACCAAATCCTCGTAACTTTTTTAACCAGGAAATGTGTGACGGCTAAAGAGCGAATCAGGGCCTGTTTACATGGAGGTGGGGGACCCCAGGTAAGTGGGGTAACCCGCCTGTCCATATAATTTTTTATTTTATTTTGATCACGTTTACAAGATAGGTGAGGTGACCCGCCTAGGCCTAACCCTGTCAGCCGGGGTGACAATTTGCCATGTAAACGTGTCAAGGTGGGGAAACCCGCCTAGCCGGGGTCGTGTTCATGGCAAAAAGCTCAATAGTGAAACATGTATGTTTAAAAACTTTGTACATTTCCTAGCCGTCTCTAGGCAGAAATCACCAGAAACCGCAACGGACACACAAGGAGTGTAAAATGTTCACATTTCGGAATATTCAGCATTGTAAATCGACCATATTTGGTTTCCCAAACTATTCCGCATAACGTATTAAGTCAACAGTTCCTCGCGAACCCAAACACCGCGTAACACAACGCGTGACGCTTTCATGATAAAATATAAATGTGTCCGAGAATTAATCTTTCGTCTTTTTCGAGATGTGAGCTTGGGATGCTTCTGCCCAAACTCCTTAATTGCAAGCGCAACAACAACCTCAAGAAACCTCACCCCAGCACCCCGGGGTTGTAAGATTGCATGTAAACGCGGTTTATTTTTCGACCACGGCTAGGCGGGTTACCTCACCTACCTGGGGTCCCCCACCTCCATGTAAACAGGCCCTTAGCAATCAGATCTTGGAAATTAAGAGGTTTAATGTAAAAAATAAAAGGTCAGTTACAATGATTTTGCTTCACTCCAGTTTAGAGACTTCTGGAGCAGTCGTGGCTTGTTTTCTCACGTTCTCTCGCGCTTCCAGTAGTTTGCTATCTTTGGTGTAGAGTTTTCATTGTCTCCCTGTATATTTCTCCTTCTTTTTGATTAGCCACCGTAATTACAGTAGTTTTGGTTATAAGAGTCAATCGAAAACGCGTCTAAATATTAAGGGTCTAATTGTTGCGTAAATATGGAAATAAAAAAGAAACTGTGATCGACAGGGGTGATCAAAACTTACCTAAAATCAAACTGCATATAGCTGTTCGGGCAATTTTGATGTTCTGAAACGATCCTAATATGTGGATTTTTCTGAAAAAGGAAAACATTCATTTATTAATCTGCTTCGTTATTTCTCATTTTTATGAACACAATTCAAGTCATTACCTGAAACCAAACACGGGTTGCCAAAAAAATTGGTAACTTTGGCAGCAAGTTAAGTTGCAAAAATATTTTCCAGTCATCATGGTAACAAAAACAGTTACAATTTGAAGCACAGGATGGACTCCTGTATTTATGGACCACAAGACTTGTAATGTTGTAACACTCGACCCTGATGAGACTAAGTCTAATGAGGCCTAATTAATGACAAAAAGACTTACGAGTCAGCCAAGATGATTCTGGTCTTAGATACATTTTCTATGGTGAACTTTGTCCTGCCTCCTTTTCCCGCGATGCGCCCAATGGCTCTCGAAAGATGATCTCCCTTCAGTGGCTTCACTATGAACAGTAAAAAGACACAGGTTAAAATAACATGGGGTTCATGAAGTTAACATTTATACATTGCAGTTTCCCTCTTGACCCTTTACTTCCCATGAGTGACCAAGACAGAATTTCTCCTTACAATATCATTACAACA